AACTCGGGTGTAAACAGCTGAAGGCTTGGCGTTGTCACACCATAGCACCATGGTACTATAAGGAACTCTTGACATCCAACTGGCGTTGGCCACTCAGTTTGTTCTAGATGACATGGCCCAACAAGCTCACTTTGCCCCACTTCTGGCAGGTGTTGCCACATTATTCTCACACCTTACAGTTTGCAGTATGGAACTAGGTGCAACTACATTTGCAAAATATGTGTTACCAGAGCTTTATATTCGTGACCTTCGGAGAAAACCAATAGAAACCCCTCTTTAGCATTTCACCCTCAAACGGAAAGAAACAGGCTGGGTGCTGTCCCACTAATAGGGCTCTACACATTCTTTGATCATTCCTGCTAAAGACAATTTGACCCTGGAGGTTTATTACCTTTTCTCTCTCCTGCCCTTACACACACACATGCACACTGTGCAACATACTTCATAAACTTTTTCAGGGGCTCTTCCAGGCTCTGGCCTTTGTATTCCCTTGTAACCATGGAGGTAAGAACAAGCCAAAGGGCTCTCTCTTAAAATGAAAAATACATTAACACAATCATTAGGCCTTAATTGTTCCCCTCTGTGCAAGCTTCTAAAGCAGCCATTATTTTGAGGATCTCATGCAATTTTAGCCCCCAAATTAGACAAGTTTTGCAAATACTTGTTAAGTCCTTCTTTAATTGCTGAGAATTATTTACATCAGAAGTCAAAGAACCATAAATACTGACAGCACATTTTGCACCTTGCTTTCCCCACTATTATCCCAGCCAGGCTGTTTTTACTTCAGCATTTTCTACTCATACCAACTTCTCATTTTTCTAACAAAGTTCATTTCTCCAACACTTTTCCTAAATATGTTGCTTTCCCTCGTTTCTCCAGCTCCCTGGAATGCAATCCTCCTTATGCATCCCATCCTCAAATCTCTTTTATTGGGCTCATATTCCCCATTCATCCTCCCTATGTAGTCAAGTGCTGCAGTTGTACTAGAAGATACCAGTTGTTGACTTTGTTGCTTGTGATGTTTTAGCTTTCTCACCAAATATCCTCTTTAACACTCAGACATAAGGCGTTATACATATAACGTCAATTACTCTCAATTTCTTCAACACATTTTAAAACGGGGTTGTTGTTTTTTTTCTTAAACTCACCTTTAAAATAAAATGCCACCCTGATTGCCCTTGTTATTGCACCAATCTTCCTGTTAATTGGTAACTGTTAAATTCAGATTATAAACCAAGCAAGCTTACATCCAGAACAAAACAGGACTGCCAAGCTGCTTTGCAAACAAACGCTTTCCTTGAAGAACAAAGATCTTTAAAAACCTCACATTACTCTCTGCTAACTTTTAAATGCTCATTGCAAACACTCTTATTTTCAAGGTTTTCCACTTTGAATAACCACAGCTTTCTTTTTTTTTTAAATCTCCAAAAAGAGAGAGATCAGAAAGAGAAGAAAGGACTGGTAAAGACAATGATTAGAGGAATGGGAACACTACAAAAGGAGAGAAACTTCATCCCTTCCCATCCAAGTACAAGGCACACTTCTTCAAGCTGCTTTCTCCAATGTAGACAGAGCAGTGTCTGCATTTTACAAAAAAAACCCCCAAACAATCACCTACCAAAACAAACTCCTGTACTATGCATATAATTCTTCCCCTTGGGGGGAAAAGGCTGTGCAAGAAGAGACAGAGATGAACCACATGCGACATGCCAGCCACATCACTTAATATGCTACTAGAATGTGTTCAAATATTACAGTGATGATGAGCATGATATGAAATCCTGGGCTTTATTCCTCTACCACATATTTTATGTATGGCTTTAGACAAATCACTTTTCTATCTTCCCTCAGGATCCTGGACTGTGGAATATGGTAACCCAGTGCCTACCTCCTAGCTGTGTTACGAGACATAGGACACGGATGTTTACTGTGTGCAATGCATTATTTTATTAAACAGGCACTGCTTTCTGATTGACAGTGCTTGAAGGGAATATGCTCACAGTATGCAACACCTGAAGATGCAAAGGACCCATTTAGAGGGGTATAGGTTGGTGTAATGAAGACTGAAGGGATAAGCTTAAATACGGGAAAATGAAGACAAGACATCAACCCCCCTCCCCGCAACATTTAAAGACTTACTGCTTATGTTTAACTGAACAAACACTAGACAGTGTGCTCTGCTAATATTTGAGGAGGAAAAAAATTGCATTAGTCTGAGGGTAGATTTAAGTCTTTTCTATCCATATGTTTTGTGAATCTGCAAAACCCTTCCTACAATATTAATAACCCATCTATTTCCATTACCAAAGCAGCAGCCACTCTCCATTTTTCACCAGGATGAGCAGGTAATTTTGGCAAAACGAGGGGGGGAAAAATCCAGCTCTTCCATGGCAAACAAATGTGCAACAAACAACATCCCCGACAGCAGGTCCTTGCCCTTTGTGGTCCACAGTCCCCCTCAAGGCTCACAGAAAACTCAGTGAAAGGTAACCCTCAGGTATAAGCTCACCCTCTCTTCAAAGCCTGGGATCTCTTCTTTTCTTCTGTTTGTTCCTTAACTCTCTCCTGAGACTTGGTTACTTGTGTCTCCTCAGCCTTGCACCATCTGTCCTTGGATACCCTTTGTTATCAAATCTATTCCCACAGCTCCAGCTACTTCAGGGATCTGCAACCAACCCCCAAGAATTTCCCCTCCCGGGGCTCCTAACACTTCAATTCACCTGCTTCTTAAGCCTCCTCCTAAGCCATACAGGAGAGCTATTATTACTGTATGCGAGGTCTGGAGGGTGGCAGCAGAAAACAAAGGATAGACTCTATTTTGTAGCTCAGGGAGCTTATCTTCAGGGAACGGCATTGTGGAATCAATGCCAGACTGAACTTGCAATCAGGTACGTAAGAAAAAGGTCAGTTTGCATCAATCAGTCCTGCCCTGGGCTAGTTCCTTTAGTTTGCTTAGGCTAAGCAGCCAGCTTGAAGGGTAGAAGCTTCATATATCATGAACCAGGCCCCCAAGTTCAAGAGACTAGGGCAAAAGCCACAGGGCACTCCCATGCTCCCTCTCATGTATTTGAGCGAGGGACATTGCCTGCGGCGTTTCAGTCTGTCATTCTGGAGCTTGGCTCTCCCTGCCAGCACAGGAGAGTTTCAGCAGTGCCAGACAGAGTAAGGTGACTTTGGGTGACGGGATGCTTTAGGGGCTTTCCCTGGAAGACCCATGTAACAATAATAGTAATAATAAAATTTAAAAATCAAACTATATCAATTATCCAGAATGCTTTCTGGGGGCAGGGGGATTTCAGCTTTGATGCCAAATCAAACATCCTAATTTTAGTTTGTTCTGGCTTCCCCTCAGCCCAGCAATTCATCCATTAAGCCCGTTGGTTCAGTGCGGAGCCACTTCAAACCGGGCTCTTGGCACCCGAGGGACAAGCCGCGCCAGCACCGACTGGCTGCTCCTCCCCAAAAGGCAGGAAAGTGAGGAATACCATCAAGCAAAGGATGTTGGCTCCAGACAAGGCTGAAAAATGTTGCGATGTCTAAGGCTTCTCATGTCGATCCAAGCTTGGCTTCATCCAACCCCACAGTTCCCTTTCAAATTGCTAGAGCTGGTGGCACCAGCAATGTAAATGTTGGAACAAAGGTGAACAAACTATTAGATGCAACACAGAGAGCAGAGCAGAGGTTATTATATCCTGAGCTCACAACCCCAGCCCAATCCTTCAGCTGAGAGCTAGGGAGACATGACTTTCCAGTCTTGACTCTTCCCTGGCCTCTAGCTCTCCTTAGAGAAAAGGGAGCTCGTTCACAGGCCCCTATCCAGGCATACTTCCCACCCAGTTCAGTTTCCAGCATCCCTCTGGGGATTCAACACATTCAAACGCTCCATTTTTGTGGGGCTGCATTAGGGAGTTGGCTATGCTAGGTTTGTAACAGCCTTTAAAATGACTGTTGCACTTCATTACAGTCCCTATGCTGGTTCACATGCTCAGTGCCAGTTCTGATGCAGATGGGAGAGTAGGGACTCAAATTCAAGAGCTGCTGGGAGCTCACAGTTGTCACCAACTTCAGATGCAATATACAGTTTTGAGCCTCAAAAGTGCAAATGTATTTTGAAGTGCCTTCCCCCTGGTATAGGCATGCTGGTAGTCTCATTGAATAATACAAGTTAGAAATACCACTTCTATAGTAGTTGTAAAATAAGAACCCCCCCCCCCCACACACACACACACGAAATGCTGGAGCTTTCAAGAGAAGCAAAGACCGTTAGGTAATGGGAAAGAAGAATGCGTTGAGAATAGGAACAAAGGTTCAGTCCTAGGAGAGACAAAAAAAAGAGACGGGGCAAGGAGGAGGGAACTCAACCAATAAGTTCAGCCCTGGTAGAAATGGTCAAAGCGTTCCCATCAAAACATTTTTGCCAAACCAGACAGCATTTAATTTTTGCAAAATAATCTTAAGCTGAAACATTTTTATTGGCTGGTTTCTAGTTTTTCAAACAAGGAAAAAAACAACTTTAGAAATGAAAGTTTTAGAAGAAGCTCAAGAATTCTGTTTCCATTTCTTGTTTAAATACTAGATCCCTCCCCACCAAGTAAGCAGGAAAGATTGTTTTTCCTTCAGAGCTTCCCACAACGAAACATAACTGGAATTTTTAACCTATGCTAACCAGAAGCAAGACATTTATCTTAGTTAAGAAGGTATAGTTTGGCCCCATCTATACTGTAGCTTAACTATGTAATGGGTCTTTTGCAGTGGCAGTGTAGAAAGAGTCAAAGCTGGTTTGTAATGCTCTTATTCTCTTTAGTCTGTTTTCTTCTTTTACTTTTGCATCAGATCTACCAGTATATTTTTTACATAATCTGTAAAGGGGGAAAATTAAGTAAAATTAGATGAAAGGGGGGGAACCCCCCCCCACCTTATTTTCAATCTCCTTTCCCATACCAAAGCCACCACAAAATCAACCAACAGTACCAGCTTTATTGGAAACCAACTCAACTTACTTTTACCAGAAAAAAAGAGACTTATTCACCCCCAATACAACAGGCCCTTCAAAGTAATTCCCTACCTCTTTTTTCTTTTATACAGGATGACAATTACTCAACCCAGCAGATTTCCCTTCCTGCTAGGCTGCTTCAAATAGCTTCACCTGGGACAATTGACCTCCAGTCTTCACAGCTGGGATAATATTACAGGGAAAGGGGGTTTCCTTCTTTGACTCTTGCACCTCAATGGATTAAGCAGGGTTTATACAACTAGTGCCAAGCTCATACTGAATTTGTAACTACTGTAGCCATGTATCTCCTCTTTTCCTTCTCAATTCATCTCCTTTATGTCCTTGTTAAGGTCTTTCAGATTTACACACACAGTTCCTGATGCCTCACCTTCAAGGCCTCTTTTTTTTTTTTTTGCAGGTGCTGCCACTTGATTGAGGTTTAAACCCATTAAATTATTCTGGTTAATGATTTGAGGCATGATATCTGCTTTCTGACCCCATCCATTCCAAAATATCAACAGCTGGCCTGCCAACCCGTCTTTGCAGCTAACACCTACCATGCAGCCCAACTACCACTTGAGTTTCTGTACTGATTACAGTCATAACAGATGCTCAATTTAATTATGTTAAATTGAGATCCCATCTACCAAAATCCAGCTGAAGTTAGGTCCCATGAAACTTTCCAAAGAGGATCAAGAATAACATATTTTCTTGAGTGCCCTGTCCAACTTTCATTCCCTTTATAAATCAAGTGCTGATGCTCAAGGTACTATTTTGGATTACACCTGTGTGTCTACACATTCATTAATGCACCGTAATTATGGCACATTAATTTTAGTGTCTAGAATAACAGGCACTAAATGCACTGTAACTGGCATTTTGTGTGACACTTAATGCCCATTGGACTAATCTACTGCGCATTAGCACAGTTTTTGCCAGCTGCACTAATGCACAGTAGAATTAGTCCAATGGGCATTTAGCTTCTCATGTAGATGAGCCCATCAACTGTTGTAGCTGCCTCTATGCTCCCTATGTATCTGGTGGGCGGCTTTGCAAGGGCTTTAAAATATGGTAGGCCAGTGCGAGTTGGCAGCAATCTGATCTGGCTTTGGACCCAGCCACTTCAGATGGCTGCGATCCAATCTTGAGCTCCAGACGGGTTTCCACCTCGATCCAGCCAAAGCGGCTCCGAACCTTCAGAGCTGCCTTGGAGATCCGGCCATAGGGAATAATGGGGAATCAATGAAATATCTATAACTTCGTTGTTTTTTGTCCAACTTGGATGAAACTTTCAGGGATGGTAGACTCTGCTGAGAGCATGAAATCTGCCAAGCTTCAAGAAGATCAGTGCACGGGTTTGGGGGGAACTGTACCCCAAATTCTTGAAAGCCAAACTGCTGTCACGGCTGTGTGTTACAACACAGGGGGGTCAAAACTGCAGGGCTGGTAGCTCTTACTGAGGCCACAAAGCCTGCCAAGTTTCAAGGAGATCGGTGCAGGGGTTTGGGGGGAACTGCTCCTCAAGCTGCGGACAAGCAAAACTGGTGCCGTGGGTGCTTGTTGCCTGAAAACCCCTGCACCGATATTCTTGAAACTTGGCAGGCTTTTTGGCCTCAGTAAGAGCTACCAGCCCTGCAGTTTTCACCCCATGATGTTGTAATGCCTAGACATGACATGAGTTTTGCTTTCAAGAATTTGGGGTGTCGATGCCCCCAAACACCTGCACTGATCCTCTTGAAACTTGGCAGACTTCATCCTCTCTGCAGAGTATACCATCTCTGAAAAGTTCATCCAATTGGACTAAAAACAACAGCGTTATAGATATTTTATTGTTTCCCCATTATACCCTATGGCTGGATCTCCAAGGTGGCTCCGAAGCTCTTTGGAAAGCTGAACGAGGCAGCACTTCGACCCTGATGTGCTGCTTTGGACTGCGAAGTGTCCAAAGCTTCTCCAGATCCAAAGCCTCGCACAGCCCTAAAATATGGTGCCTGGAACAAGGGAGGCACAAACACTTAATTCTGCTCTGCTATACCTGCATGTAAGTTAAAACTAGGAATGATAAACTTAGGCCCACCATTGTCTAGAAAGACCCAAACACCAAAAATTACAGCTCAGCTTGTATGTCCCAAAGATCAGGACGTTCACGTCCACAGCTTTACTTCAGGCTAAGGCTATTGTTAAGGAGGGCAGGCATGCACACTAACCAAATGAACATGCATCATGTTGCTGAAACTAAGCATTTGTATTTGTATGCAACTAAAACCTTTTATCTAGGGTGTCCTTTGATTAGCTTTTCCAGAGAAATAAGCAAAGGTCACCACTGTCTGACAGCTGTTCATTAACATGTGCAACATGAATGGTCTTTGTGCTGTTTCCTGAGGACAGGGGGTCAATATTAGAGAAATAACTCCATTACATTTACAATGGATCTAAACTGCATATTTTGGATCTGGACTGAGTCCTCAAACCTTGTAGGCATTTGGAGCAGGGCAGGGGCAGTAGGAACAGAGTTCAATCCACTTCATCAATTAAGATCAGGTCTAAAAATCAGAGCCAGGCTCAAATTCCAAAATCTTCCACAGATGAATAGATGTAGACATTTTCCCCAGACCTTCTTCCCAGTACAGTCACCATCAGCTGGCACTGATAAGCACCTCCAAGCTTCCTGAAGGACATCATTGCTCATAAGGTGTCAGCTAGTCTTCACTAGCTCCAGAGGGGTTGCTATACAATTGTACTTTAGTGTTACATTGATGATCTGTGTTGTGCCCGCTCAGTCCCCAGAGATGCCAAGCCCACATTTTCACCAGTACTAAAAAAGAATATGGGATCATTTTAGAAAATTTGGTGAGGACCAAAGTAATAAAATGATTAAAATATCTAATCTCTGGGAACTGTGTGAGCAGCTGGCACAGAGGTATTGCAGTTTGCACTACAGGTAGCAGCACTTGGTATTTACTCTTCTCAAGATCTATTACCAGTCTGTATTATGAAAACTCAAAAGCCTCCTGTGACTTAGGCCAGTGGTGCCCCACCTTTTTGGCTTGAGGGCCAGATGAGTGGTGGCAGGTCCATCTGTGCGTTGGATCCAATCTGTGGGCCCAATACCTCTGTATGCAGCTGGCCCAGCCCAGAGTTGGTTCATCTGTGTGGGGCTTGGAGGTCTGGGGGTAGGAGAGTGATCATATGATCATAATGTCAATCACCACCAGTCCCCCACCCCAAAATGTCCAGACCAATGGGAAGACATGCAGGCCAGACTACATGGCTTCTAGGCAGGGGTTGAGTATCCCAAATCATCAGTGATCTGGAAGATGGATGGAGTGCACTCTCAGCAAGTTTGCAGATGAACCAAGTCAGGGGAACTAGTAAATATACTGGAGGGTAGGGCTAGGATTCAGAGACCCAGACAAATTAGAAGACTGGACCAAAAGGAATCTCATGAGGTCCAGCAAGGACAAGTGCAAAGCCCTGCACTTAGGACAGAACAATCCCGTGCACTGGTGCAGGCTGGGGGCTGGCTGGCTACACAGCAGCTCTGCAGAAAAGGACCTGGGGGTTACAGTGGACAGTAAGCTGAATATGAGCCAACTGTGTGCCCTTGTTGCCGGAGCTGGTCTTAGGGAAAATGGCACCCTGGGCAAACTTACATTTTGGCACCCTGCCTCCAAACTCCACCTGCCCCGCTCTCCCTCCCCCCGAGTCAGCAGCACTGCTGCAGACAGAGGCGGGTG